GATCTGTTTTTTGAAACATTGCTTCTGTTCTGAGTTCCAGTTCAATCGTATCATTTCCATGACATTGTTTTATTCATGTTGTTAACGCCTGTTATATCGGATTTTCAGATGAAAAAGTCATCAAGTTAACGTTGATTTTTGTAAACATTAACGAGTGCTTAACTGAAAAAGTCATTAAGTTCGCATGACTTGTTTGACAGAAGAAAATGTTGTGAAAAAAGCATGTAGTTTATTAAATCATACTGTTGTGTATAACTGACATATCCGCGTTGTCATCTATAAAATTTTAGGTTTATTTTAGATAAACTTATAATCATGTTTACAAAAAATCAAGGCCAGCTTGATGACTTTTTTAACTGAATATTCGACGTGTTCACAGTTTTTGCCAAAATTAAAAAAACACCATCCGTTGATTTCAGTTGATAACACAGGAATCCTCCAGTGGTGATTTTCAAATTCTTAGAGCGGCACTATATTTTATATCGTTGAAACTTCAACAGATGTCAAACTTGTCAGCGCAAAACACGCAATAACAAATAAATTATAATTCATTTATTTTTACGTTTATGGAATTTGAGTTTATTATTTTTCTTTAAAACGTTTTGAAATGTCAAAATACTTAAAAAATCTACTCCTGAGTTTTGCCATCGTTATGATTTAGTTATTATAACCTATTCTTTTTTTCCATGTCAAATACCTGCTGTCTTGTCGGTAGTATTTTCAAGATAGAAAAGAGTGTTGGTGGTTTTTAATTTTGGCAAATTCTATAGTTACAATAAATCTATGCGACAACCCAACCGCACTTTTCATTACAGAGTGTTTCATGAGTAATGCCGAGCCACAGTATAGAGATCATTCAGTAAGGGCAACTCGTGTCGGCGCCTTTGATTCTTCTGACCCGCATTTTAAGCCGTCATCGGTGGTTGTTCCCCAAAATATTTCTAGAAAAGAATTAAAAATAGTGTAATAACAATAACATTTTGTAACTAGTTGATCTTAGAAACCACACAGTCTATTGTAATAAATATAACAGAGATGCCGTGTTGAAATTTAGATTTGGCCTCGCTTCTCTAATTACGATTTTACGTTTCATTAATTTCTTTTTCATATGGTTGTAAATGGTTATAAAATTCAAAGTTATTAGAAAACGCTAATATATGTATACCTATTTAAATTAAACAGTAAACAATGATCCCATCAAAACATGAACAATGCTTTTTAAAATGTCTCCGTGAAAATTACACTCAACTGCAATAATTACACCGGAAGATCCGCCTTAAATCATCAAAACCAATGCAACTAAACTGCCAAATTTCAAATATGTCACATTAAAGGCACTAGATAACTAAAGTACCGCAGTTCAATGTAAGAAAGAGAAGTACCTAATGTGACTCGATCTTGAAATGTGTGGCAATTAGTAACTTTTATGAAATAGAAATATATCTGTGTCCTTGTTATGCTCCGTCTTTTCGACAGCAGGTATTTTTTGCTTCCAGTATGGCGATCCTGTTACTGTCATTTGGCCGTCAATTGTCTTGGTGGTAACACGTCTTCCACGACTGTTTGCTGGTTACCGGTGACACTTTCTCTTTGAATAGGGCTGGAGTTACTTTGGGACTGGAATAGTGTTCTTTCTGGTCCGTTAACTCAATAATTCTAGTACAGTCTGTCGTAACCTCAAATCGTAAACACATCAACCTTTCGTTGACAGATAGCGAAAATTACTAGCCTCGCGCTATCTTTGTTTAACACATAGGTTAGGTTCCTCTCTGTCGAATTCCGACCACAGGCAGTTTGCCGTACTTTCTAAAAGTAATAGTAGCTCTAGTGACTTTAGAAGTACCTTGCGTTGCGCGCCCTCATACGGTTACAAGACAAACGACCACCCATGAAAACGGGTCAGTAAAAATAGCGAGTTGTCCCTACTGAATGATATCTATACTGTGGCCGAGCCTTACAGGCTTGGAAATGCAACACACAATACATTTTCAGAGGTATCATTGATGTTGACAAAAAAACAAATTATGTATAAAACATAATCAGCCTTTGCTTTCTATAAGTTTTGTCAAAAATGTCAATTCTAAACATTTTTAGGTTATTGTTCTAAGTTAAATCAAACGAGGTGACAAACGAGGTGACAAATATATTTTCAAAGCAAAGGCATCGTAGTTTTATGATCGAATTTTCAAACAAAAAATATCTTATTAGCGGTGAAATATGTTTTGCTGGTTGCAATTAAAGTTTGTAAGGCTCGGCATTGCTCAAGAAACACCCTGTATAATAAAATTAATGCTTTTCAACAACTCTGTAAAATGTCAATTATACAACACCAGTATGAATTAATAAAACACTTGTCTTTTTCGCTTCTCTTTCTTTTATCAAAAAAAAAAAATCTACGACACTACTGACTTTTTCAATTGAACACCCGCTATTTTTTATCATTGTTTAACTTCTCGTCAATTACAACAACTGTTTAAGTAAATAACTCTTTCTACATTTTTCTCAATACATAACGATGTTGACCTCTTTGTATCTACACATTAATTCTCTTATATAACTGTATAATTCTCCAACTGAGGTATAACTACTTAAATTTGTTTCAGTTAATTTGACAATTTTTCCAACTGCTTTGAACTACAGTATCTGATGATCGTACAAAATTGAAATGAAAGCAGTCTACAATTTGATTACCGCTATAAATGCAAAATGCTTTCCCTCGTAAAAATATTTTAGACGAATTCGGAATAAATTTGCAGACAAAACTTAGTGACAAATTGTACAATTGATTTGTCAAAATTTTGAAGCTTAGTCATTGCATTTAACTGTCAAAACAGAATGACACAAGTGGATTTTAATATTGACTTGACGTATAAGTGATACTATGGTGTTAATTTGAAGTTTTACCACAACATTGTGGCTAACTAGAGATCTGTTTGTAGTTTATAAACTTGTAATACCTATACGAATCTCCTGAAATTTTTGGCGCAAATGACATTTCTTTATTGCTAAGTTTTGTCTGAGACTTTATTTTTTTTTTATTTTACCTCACTGAAATAAACTCTGATGCTAGAATACATATGTATTTGAAATTTTTCACAAACGTTTTTTTCCTGTGATTTTTAGTTCCATACTTGAATCAGCCTTTGTATTTCAATTAATCACGGCCTAAACTGAGTCAAGTTTGACATACCACATTGTAAACGTTAAAGTTAACACTTTCCCGTCTGTTTAACTAACTACGGGACGGAATTAGCTAATTACCAAAACAAAAGTCCGCTGTGCTGTAAGCTGTGAGTAGTGAGTAGGGAGAAGTGTCTTTAAAACTAGGCCTGGCAATTTTTTGTGTAATTATTTTCTGTTTTATCCAGTCGAAAATAATTTTAAGTTATGCATGTAAGCGAGTGCTACCACAATATGTTTTTCCAATTAGTTCTAGAAAGCTGGTTACATTTTACCATCAAACCGTTGGTACCTTTTTTTAATTGGTACATAAAAAGTGTTGGGTTTTCTACTGATTCAGAATTTTATTAACCTAAATGTGATGAGTCGTGGGTGTTGTTTACGATATTTTTAAGTGTTTCTATACCATTAACTTCACAGTCTTTTTCGTTAAGTAATTATCTGATTTTAGATGCCGCAAGTTTTATTTGGATTGTGGAGCTTCCTAAAACGGAACCCGTACCCGGCGCCTCCACCATCATGCAACTTGATTAAAAATTAGAAACTTCCTGATAAGGTCATTATTATGTTATATATAACAACCAATGTAAGAGATAGATTTTTTTACAATATCTCACTGGAAGTTCAACATTTTTAGCCGTAGGAAGGAATATTTACATTACAGATTTTATCTAGAATAGTGTAGGAAACTAGCTTTAACGAAGCTCCAGTATTAAATTGCACTTTGAATTAAATGATACAATTGTAATTAAATATTTGCACCTGTTCGCACTATGAAAGCTGTGCAACTGTCTCCAGGCAAGTAAACATTTGTGTTACCGGTCAGGCATCCGACGTGCAAATACGCACGTTTCCGTAAATAATGCAAATAATGGGAAACATACAGAAAACTAAACTTTCTAGTAGTACAATAATCTCTTTTTAATATTACTTATCTATGAATTTACTGTTATAAAAATGAAAATTAGTACTGCCCCTTTATATATATTATATATAGAAAACCCAAGAAATATTTTGAAAAGTAACATTTTTGAAGTTTTTTAATGATTTTCTTGAATCTACAAATGCGAGAATGTGTGGAATGTACCCAATCGCCTCCTTTTCGCAAAATAAGTCGATTTCACATATCGCAAGTGCGTCATGAGGATCAGAATCGCCAAAACAAGTCCAAATGATCTTCAGAACTCATAAAATTCGACGAAAGTAAGATTTCTAGCTCAAATTTGATGGTTTTGTTGATATATTCAGCTAGAAAATACATGAAAAAGCTTCACAAGTAACATTTCTAAGTTTATATATGATATGGTTAATTAGCGAAGCATTATTTGTTAATTGATATGATTGAAATTCTAGAATTCATTAGTATATTTATAGTTTTAGTTTGTTACATATTTAAAGAAATAATTACGAGGACCTTAACAGCCGTGCAACTCTTAGACTGTGTTAATATTTAGTTGCAACCAAAGTTTTTTGATGAAAATTATTAGTAAATTTTTGATTTCGTAATAAAAATCAGTAACTTCTATCATATTGTAAACTTAGAATGTGTGATTTTGAAGCTAACGTGAGAACTCTTCGAACATACCTAAATACTTCAGGTTAGGAGATGTATGTAAAATGTATGTATAATTTTCTGAAAAAAAAAAAAATTGTAGTAATTTATACTAGTGAAATTATAATTTCAGATGCAAGATGAACTAGAAGAGTTCACGAGTGATGTTTTATTATTTTATAATTTATGTATGTACAGGCGCAAGCGCATGTCAGGGATATTTCCGTTCCTCTAGCGCAGGGTACGCAGTATTTCCCATTCGGTTTTCCTCACCACCGGCGAAAACGTCAGTGCAAGATTGCGCGAACCACGTGAAAATCCATCATTTAATTCTCAAAAAAGACGCGCGGAATTATGGTATAATTTGATTAAAATATAAACTAAATTTTAAAGTAAATAGTGACAAGTGATTAATATATACATTTATTTTTAAATTAGAATTTACATTTGAACTGTTTAAAACTGAAAATAAGACAAAGTTCTTCCAAATGTGAACGGTCTAACAACAGCGGAACTAGTATGTGTACCTAACGATAAAAGTTGTGGCGACATAGGCGCACATAAAAAAATGTAATATGTGAAATAAAACTAATACAACAAAAAATAATACAGCTTTATATCGTGTTATTTGGCATCAATCAATTCTACCCACCAGAAGGATAAACCAATTTGCGCAACTTTATACATAATTTCTAAATAACTGATTTAAAAAGTGGAAGTGTGTATAATTTTACAGACGCTTAAAGATTTTCTAAATTGCCTGCATATATTCCGCGATTTAATAAGCAATTTCTAGGGAAGACAACGCAGTGAATATAATAATAAGGGAGGTGGTTCTGCGGCGATATTGCGACGTTTTAAATTTACAATTATGTAAGGTTGACTCTCTGTGGATAATGTAAAATTTAATGGACACAATGAAAAGTATGTTAGTGTTAGCATTCGTCGCTATCATTGCATTTTGTGGCGGTTTAACGGCTCCTGCTTGCGTGTGCGATAAAAGAGAATGTGAAATTGTCAACGAAGTGGACTGTCCTGGACTAGGAATTGTTGTTTGGGATCCCTGCAAGTAAGGATAATTAAGTTTCTTTATAATGAGTACTTTATTCAACAGCAGATTGTTTACTGACGGTTTCATCAATTTAAATAATGTAGCAAATTTCGTCATTAGTAAGTTTAATTAATTTAACACACTTCTTGGAAATTATGAAAGGTGTATTATTATTACATTGGGCTTAAAATGTTCCATTAGGTGGATCATCTATATTTGATAAAATTACCTACTTCAACCTTCAACGGTTATTCATTTATTAACAACTCGGTCAAGCGGCGGTCAATATAAGCGTTAGTGGCGTGTTACACTAAAATTTCTGGTAATAGTACATACATACACGTCTATACATAGGCGTTATTTATCGAAGGATTTCCAGGGTCTTGTTTGTTGTAGCATTTGTTGTCAGTGGTAACCGTTCAAATAACCTGAATAATAAAAGCACATACATTATCTTAAATAAAAACTTCACAAATTGAAAAATACAAACTCAGTAAAAAATATTTATCGATTATATTTTAAAACTGCTTAGTTTGACAAATAATAACTAGCACAACAAATTCTAGCTATGATAAACATGACTGTAATTTTCTTAAAAGTATTGAAATTGTAGTTCTTACAACTTATCACATATTAATAATTCATAAATTGCCGCTAAATAAGTATCATACTTACATTATATTATTACTAAGAATAACAACACCGTTTTATTAATATATGAATTGTCATAAGGGATAAGCGTTGAGTTATTGAGTTTTTTTCTTATTTATTTTAGTAATATGTAAATTGTCATCAGTATGACTTACTGACGGGAGTAAATTATAATACAGAGCATACTCTATAAAGTACTATTTGACTTCTCGAACTAAAATTAAAAAAGCTATTGTGATAAGGTCATTCTAACCGACGTCTCCAAGCTACCCATTTCCATTTTTCTGTCACATGTTGGCAGTTTTATAAGGCAGATAATTTCGGGAACTAACATTTCGATTACTTTTAAACTTTAAATAAATCGGAATATTTGTGTATTTACTTCTGAAAGAAATGTTATCTCAAGATACTGGTAAACAAATTTTATTATTTAACAATCCCCCTTTTTTACTTTTATAGGACGTGAATTTACATAAAGGAGATCCTAATGAATTTATTGTCGATTTAACTCTACAAAAATATTAATGATTTCACTGTACGTAATAAATGTTGTTCTAAGAAGATTTACACTTTAACATGATAACTTTAGTCTTCACAACGTGCTATGATGTGTTGCATATACGTACATATCCATTGTTGTATCAATTACTACTCACTTAATAATAATGAAATTTTTCAACACAAACATGATTTTTTATACATGGTGGTCCTGACTGGTGCAATATTTTTTTACGTTGTATTTTTGTTGGTAGAATTACATAAATATGCAGAACAGTGGACACACTGTTTAAATTTGTGGTGATTCCTGTAAAATTTTTTATATGAAGCTATAAATTAATTTCATGAAATTAAAAGTAATAGGACTTAAAATTATTTTAGGTAAATCTTTCTTATAGAATAGTTCATGTTTAACCGAACTGGTTTTACATATGTCAAGATAAAAATGTGAAAACATCTTTACTAGATATAACTAATAAAAAACAGTGACGACAACACACTGATTATGATTACATTTGTCGGATGCGATTTTCAGGGATTCTTGTGTAGAATAAAATTGCTTACTTATTAATAAAGATTATTATTTAAAATTTTTATCAAAATAAATGAATATTCAAAATTATCACATTACCCTTTTTAAACATGAACAACAAGAAATTTGAATATTTAATTTTAGGTGAATAATAAAATAAAATTATGCACGACATTATTAATTTCCCTTAATCGGCAACATGTCTTCATTCAAGAGTGGCATAAAAAATGTTGCAAAATCTGCCTTTAAAATCTTTTAAATAAAATTATTTCACAGTGAGTTTGCTGTCACGTCAGCGAAAATTAATATCACAATTATAATGTCTAATTGTTTTGGTTATCAAATGCAAACATTTGGCTAAATAATAAAATGCGCGAATTTTTTTTAAACATTTAGAAATGCTGAAAATGAACTGTAAGAAATTATTTTTCTCCGAGAATGTATTTTAGAAGAAGCTCTGAAAGTAGTATTATATTTATTACTTAATATCTTAAAACATAAAAACATGAAAGAAGTCAAACATCTGTATAAAAAAAACTCTTGTTGGCGTTGAATCAAATGAAGCAGTAGAGGAAGTTCAGGAATAACAACATCAGCATCAGTATACATATAAATTTAAATATATTTTATGGAAAAGACATTACTATTCTTTCAGTGTACTTGAATATTATTAATTGTAAAGTGCTTTTTTTCTTAGATTTTTTATGTTTGATCTATGCTTTAATACAGATTTAAAATAAAAGTTTGCTTAAAATACAATGTTTATGAATTTAATTATTATTAATTAGAAAATATTGTTATTCGCTTTCATTTATTAACGTGTTACTTTAGTAAAGAAATTTCCATACTACTTTGATAGGTGTTGGAAAAATGATGTTATTTTTTTAGAAACCTTGTTCGATTTTTTTTGTATTAATTAAATTACAAAATATGTGCTTATCATTCTGAAGAAATAAAGGAACAAAGTAGTGTGTTGTATGGCAACAAAAATATGATCCTACATACATACTTATATTTTATCGTAGTTAATTATCGTCAATGTTATGTAAAACTTGAACACATTGAAATACAGCTATGCAGGTTTCAGTAAAAAATGTATAAGCACAGCGGGACTGAAAAATCTAAGCACATTACGCTAAATCGATCTGTGTAAGTTTTGAATGTGATACGTGAAGCCACATAAATCATGAAACTAACTAACCTAAGAGTGAAAAACGTTCTTAGAATTTGGTAGCTCTAAGTATTTTCCAATCTTAGCAACCGTTGAAGGATAAAAGATTAACACATTTCATTCCTCGCTGACGTCACATTTTTTATACTAACAAGACATCGGTTTTCCATGAAGAAAACTTCAATCAAGGCAAACTGTCGATCTCAATATTCTCCTCGCCTTATTTCGCGTCAACATATAAAAATTTTTCTTTATCCCTTAGTTGATTAAAGCAATTTCTTACTTTCTCTTCGTTGTTTATTTTTGCGTACAGTGAAGCTCATTTGCGTTTAAAAATAATTACAATTAACCTCAAAATTCTAATTTAGCACGTTCAGTTTTTGTAAAAATGAGTCGGAGTGGAAAGAAAGTAGCTGCGTAATTGCCAGCTGTAACTAAATTTTAGATAACAAAATTGGGTTTTGGGCAGTTTCCGGAGTTGATAATTTGTTTAATTATTCGAATAAATTCTAAAAACGTCCTGCTATTTCGAAAATTAAAATTCTGCCGCAATTCACCAAATTCGACATAATTAAATTTACACAAGTGAAAAAAAATCGAGTGGAGCCAATATAATGGTATTATTGCCGCCCTTATTGGACGTGATGTGCCTGAAAATGGTTCTCTGCTGTTGCTAGATTATATAATGAAACCGCTTGCTGCGGTACTGTCGATGTTAATACTTACTACCATTAATTAGTTGTGGTTTGGCTAACATAAATTATGTATTTAGTCACGTAATGGATAAAGAGATCAGCTGCTAGCTAAAGCTGCTTTTCAATGGTCAATCTTTGATTTTTCTCTAATGAGCACATTAATTTCATGGAAACGTGGGTATTACAGGGAACCACAAAGCCCCTGGAGCCTACAACGCAAAGAGCAATTAGCTCGTTATTTTCTTTAATAAGCTTCGTAAACTTCAAACTTAAAACTGCTTTAGCATACTTATTGACATAAAATAAATACGGGATTCACCAACGCTTTTCACTGGATAAAACCACAACAAAACTTATCGAATTTAGCTTAGATGATGCGCTTCTATCCTCTTATCTCCTCAATATGGAGCAGTGTATGTATAAACGCTTCGAATTCGTTCCGTTTTGTACGATTAGCTTGGCGAAGCTTAACTTTAAAATGTATTTAAAATTGAATAAGGATTTACTTTTAAATAAAGTGTGACTTCTTTTGTTGATGACAGAAACTGTATTCGTAGTAATGGATAGTTTGAAGGATAATTGTCTTGAATTAAGAGGCAATAACTTTGTCTTAGTGTTGCCATTCTACAAAGAGGGGTCGCATACTCAAATGTAATTTAGGTTATAAAATTTGTAAGTGTCACTAGGATTAATACCTATCTGCAAAACGAATCTCGGGAAAATGCGCACTAATGGATGGTAAATATGAAATGTATATATGTTATTTAAGTGACGTATTGCAGACATTTTTTCTCTACTTATCGTTGTCTAATGGGTCATCTTTCTTCTTCAATATTGATTAATTATTTTCACAGTAGTGGTTATACAAATGTGGATGTTTGAGGCCTAAAAGATTTTATTTTTTAACAAGGTGTTAGCTTTCATTTTAATTTATTCTAATTGCTGCTTATTGGTATGGAATGTCTTAATTTAATGTTAAGCACAATATTTAAGTTAGTTGTAATATAGCAGCGTTAAATTTGGGATCATTACAAAATAGTCACAATATTTTGTTTAATTCAGAAATGTAAGCTAGGGTCCATCTGATGAACGGCTACTTTCATGTGTTATCGTATCACATGACACCCAGAGTATGAGAAAAATAGATACCTGTTCCGTCTGTTTGTCGTCTGTCCGTCTGTGGAATGCTAGAGACTTTATTACGTAAATAATCTCCGAAACTATTGCATTGCTTGATCTCTGTTGAATTTTACATAGAATATCATGAGGATGGTAAAACGCTAAGCAAAATGCATGCAATGACATCATCTCAAATTTTTGTTGAATAAATCCTATCTAAAGTATTACGAAATGAATTAATACTTTTTGCAATTGCTTCTACATACTGACTCAAAAAATTAATGAATGACAACATTTATATTATTGATTTAATATACCATTTTCCCGAAAATTTGAGCGAAAGTACAGTATT